GAGTATTTGTATTTTTCTTGATTTTCTATAATTTTCTATGATTTAAAAATCTGATTTTATATATTTATTTAAATGATTTTAATATTTATAAATTTATTTTATGCGGTGAAAATTTTTGGAATTAATTTGTTGTATTATTGATATTATTACGTAGAGAAAAGCATTAAAAGGGGATAATCCAGATAAGGAAACCCTTCCGTACAAATCTCGTATCATTAATCCCCATATATGAAACATAAGCAAATATTTAAATTTAATAATCTAGAATGCGTGCACTCCCATTTAACCCTTAATTAGACGAAAATAGTACGTCGAGCGAAAAATCCAAATAAGGAACCACCCATATATATACCATATGTTTCGAGTGATTAGGATCTAAGTGTTAGTGCCTTATTCTAGCGTTAAATATAGATGTGGCATAAAAACATAATATAATTACTAATGCATAAAAGCATACTTAATATCAACATCTTATCTGCTCAAATAGATGTGAGTAGTCACGACTTATATCCTTTTCATGCTTTTAATAAATTTTTTCGGCTCCTTGCCGATTCCATTGAACTTTCACTAAAGAAATCACTTTGTTTCTAAGTCTTTTGTCTTTTCTAATAGTAATGCAATGCAGTATCTCTATGGTAATCAATTCATCCTGAATCTAAATACTCGGTGTATCAGTCACACTCTGTTGCTCCTCATCACGTAAGTGCCTCTTGAACATTAAAACATAAAATATATCGTGTATACTCGACCTCAATACTAGAAAGTCAAATCTAAATGATGTAACTCCAACATGCTCAAATTTTCTGAACGGATTAACTTATCTTGGGGTACGTTTTCCCCCATCTACTGAATCACTGAACGCCCTTTAGTGGCGATACTTTTATTGTTATAAAATCTCCAACATGAAACTTTAGAGGTTGTCACCTCTGATCTGTATTAATCTTTTACCGACTATGAGTGGCAAGAAAATGTTCTCAAATCAATATTGCATTCCTCCTTAATGTGCTCCAATAGCAGCCTTCCCCTTTCATCTTCAAAGCCTTCATATCTATCTTCTTCTTCTTCTTCTTCTTCTACATCCCTAAGTCTCCATGACCTAGATTAGAGATGATCCTCGATAAAGGAGCTAAAATAAAATGTCTCCATTAGGAGGTTGCATAAGTAAATGGCAATCAAGTGGATGAACTCTGCATACTTCGTCGTATAGCGGAGTTGTTGTCGATTGAGGAGGCAATAGCTTAGGGCAAGTTGAATCACGATAGAGATGCGTGGAGTTTCGATTACCACGCTTTGCTAATACTGTTCAACAACTGAGATGACGGTTGAAAAAGGATCCTTGGAGCTCCCGAAGTAAGGACTCCGATAGTAACTAGGTTTCACAAATGTGAACCTAGATCATAATTAGACGTCATGTGGCTATCCCGGTCCTAACACTAAATTTTGATTAAAAAATGTGCTTCTTCCCATTGATATGTCTCACTTAGAGGAACATGGGTACTTCGTGTTCAACAGCTCTTTATCCTCACCTGGCATCGAGTCTAGGAAGGAGTAAGTAGGAGCTGTTTCTTCTGTAGTGGGAAATTTTTTTCCCAATCTTCTGAGATCAGAGGTGTAAGAACCATGAATTTTTGATACTGGTTAAAATACTTTTCTAGTATTTTAAAAGATTTAATTATTATTTTTAAAAGAGTATTTGTATTTTTCTTGATTTTCTATAATTTTCTATGATTTAAAAATCTGATTTTATATATTTATTTAAATGATTTTAATATTTATAAATTTATTTTATGCGGTGAAAATTTTTGGAATTAATTTGTTGTATTATTGATATTATTACGTAGAGAAAAGCATTAAAAGGGGATAATCCAGATAAGGAAACCCTTCCGTACAAATCTCGTATCATTAATCCCCATATATGAAACATAAGCAAATATTTAAATTTAATAATCTAGAATGCGTGCACTCCCATTTAACCCTTAATTAGACGAAAATAGTACGTCGAGCGAAAAATCCAAATAAGGAACCACCCATATATATACCATATGTTTCGAGTGATTAGGATCTAAGTGTTAGTGCCTTATTCTAGCGTTAAATATAGATGTGGCATAAAAACATAATATAATTACTAATGCATAAAAGCATACTTAATATCAACATCTTATCTGCTCAAATAGATGTGAGTAGTCACGACTTATATCCTTTTCATGCTTTTAATAAATTTTTTCGGCTCCTTGCCGATTCCATTGAACTTTCACTAAAGAAATCACTTTGTTTCTAAGTCTTTTGTCTTTTCTAATAGTAATGCAATGCAGTATCTCTATGGTAATCAATTCATCCTGAATCTAAATACTCGGTGTATCAGTCACACTCTGTTGCTCCTCATCACGTAAGTGCCTCTTGAACATTAAAACATAAAATATATCGTGTATACTCGACCTCAATACTAGAAAGTCAAATCTAAATGATGTAACTCCAACATGCTCAAATTTTCTGAACGGATTAACTTATCTTGGGGTACGTTTTCCCCCATCTACTGAATCACTGAACGCCCTTTAGTGGCGATACTTTTATTGTTATAAAATCTCCAACATGAAACTTTAGAGGTTGTCACCTCTGATCTGTATTAATCTTTTACCGACTATGAGTGGCAAGAAAATGTTCTCAAATCAATATTGCATTCCTCCTTAATGTGCTCTCACAACTTTTAGTCTAAGTAATAATTATTCTCTGACTCTGCCCACTAATAAAAAGTCTACAAGGTCTCCTGTATAGCGCCTCATACGGTTCAATAGACATTCAATAACTATTGTTATAAATAAATTCCATCAATGGGGTTGTGGTCATCTTGTTTGTCCTGATAATCCATATCGCATGCTTGCAATATATTCTCCAAAAGTGTAAAGTAAACGCCAATCCTTGGTTTGATACAATCATCTTTGGAACTTCATGAAATCTCACTATTTCCTAAATAATTATCTTTGCATGCATTTCTGCTATTTAAGTCATTTTCAAGGGTAAGAAATGCACCGGTTTTGTCAACCAATCAACTATCATCCAAATAGATTATGTTTCTTTCTTTGATCTTGGCATCCCTTCAATGAAGTTCATAGAAATATCTGCTCACTTTCACTCCGGAATGGGTAAAAGCTATAGGGTTGACAGGTAGAACATTTACCTACATACTTCAAAATCTCTTTACGCATGCCGCTCCGTTAACACATCCTTTCAAGTCTTCGTACATTTCTGATGTGTCTAGATGTATTGTATACTTAGTACGATATAACTCATTCGATAAATCCTTCTTAAGTTGTAGATAACCCGTCATCACCAGTTGACCATTAATTCGGAAACCCCTGTCAGTTTTGATGGTTTGTTTTTCTATAATCTCTATAGAAGTTCCCTTCTTTCGGATTTTTAATCTAAGAATCTCTTAACTGCGTACTGATCTTCCCATAACTCCAAGATGACTTCACTAATAAAGCTCCTAAGAAAATGTTGTTTCCGCTAATCTCCTATCTAAAGCTAATCTGCGTGAGAGTGTAAAGTTCTCGATATAATAAACGTAAAAAAATTGTAACCTCTCAACGACGCTTCCTTCTCAACATGTCTACTACAA